GAGACAAACTCATGCTCCCCAACAACCTTTGTGAAATACTAGCACCAAACACGGAAAGAACATCCTAGAACTTCTCAAACGAACAAACCTTCTGCAAAAAATATAACACAAATTCTAAAATACCACATACAATTAATATTATTATATTATTTATATCATATAATTATCTTATATACTTTTCTTTTCTTTTTTTTCTTCTTCTTTATGCTCTAGTATCATTAAGTAAATTATAATAAAATTGTAACATATATATCTTAAACGCCAATAACCCTGGCAGTTGAGGCGTATTTCTAAATAAAAAAAAAAAAAATAATGATCGGAAGTAAATTTTTTTTAACGGCTCAATGTTTAAAAACGTGCTTTAAAAAAACATTGAACATAGGTAACAGGTTAGCTGCACCGGTGCTTTCGAATGCACGCCACACGGAAAGGGGAGACAGTAGTTATGCTCGGGGGTGGCGAGACTACGGAAAAAAACGAAACCTTGTAAATGAAATACTAATAGGACGACTCCGTTTTTCGTTACTTTTGTTTTTATGTTTCCCGCCTCAATGTGTATACCAAAATAATAATTTAGAGAGTCCCGCCAGTTTCGATCAATCGAAATTCGCACGCATAGCAATGAAAAATATTTGTGTATACTGCGACGACACTGAGATATTTTCGGTTTTTGATTGTTTCGTTTCCACCGGTTGTTCATTAGACTAGATCATATTATTATTTATGTACATTGTACATATTTTAGGTATACTGTCGAAACTTTGGTAGAAATAAACGTTCAGTGTTATGTTACCTACACTGTACCATAATATTATACATTTCAATATTGTTGGTATACTATTGTCACATAATATATGTTTATATGTTGGTACCATACTACCTACTCAATTATACTAATTGAAACAAATGTTGGTTTCTCGGAATAATAATATACATTTACCAATATCGGAAGGTGCCAAGAAACTATTCTGGAGAGTGTAGACTGCAGAGGATTCGAGTTAATAATAAAGTAAATGACGAAATAATCGATGATAAATGTATTTATGTTCTATATACAACCGTATTTTGTTCCCTCTATAATTCGTATTTTGGAGGATACCTATGGCAACACGTTTATTAAATATAAATTAAAATAATAACTGTTACGCATATTATTGTTTTGCCATATTCATAAAATGATTATTTAAACATTAATTACCCAATACACACATACTAAGTAAACGATATTAATGATGGAATTTAATATAGGTATATTGAAAATCCACTTGAACCAATCAGACTTTGAAAATATTTGGAAAATATACTGCCAATGTAGTTATTAGTCCGAAAAAATATGCATTCCAATATCCTACTGACTATTCAATTATTTTTCAAAATTTTACGAGAACCCATATATTAACATAATACAAAAACTATATAGCCATACATCGAAGGAAAGTTATTTTCATGCTGCCCTAAACACAAATTATCAATAATTATAATAACGAATTGTATCTAACCTGTAATCACAACGGAATTTTTAAAATATTTTTATTTCACTGATTTTTGTAGGTACGTATCCATAATACATCAATATGGTGATAAAATATTTTCAAAAGAGTTGCTTGCAAGATTAATAAAAAATTAAAATTTTCTGTTCAGATTGAAATAAACATTATTTCGTAGTGTCGCTTCGAAAAGGAGAAATCTAGATTTTTTTATGCTCTTATAAAAAAAATCCTTTGTAGTCAACAACATAATGGAAAAGGTAAATATTTAATCTTTTGACGTTGTACTTTTCTTCACTATATTTGGTTAATGGAACATTAATATTTTTCATAAACTCGTTCAAAACTTTTGGTTCGAATAGTTTACTATGTATGTGCAACGTGCTTCGTATTTCATTATTTATAAATCTCTAATAAAAATAAGTAAAATATTAAATTTGAATCTAAGTCTAAATAATGATTGAAAAATAAATCTTGTCTATTAAGTATTTTGATTTTGTTTATTAATTCAACTAATATTAGTTATTAACTCAAATACTCTACCGAAAATAACCAATAATAAGCTACTAAAACTGTTTCATACAATTGTCATATTGCGAATGATTGTTTATTTTTTTAAATTTATGAATGAATAAAACTTCACTGGAAATAGTTTTGATTTAAACGAAAATGTATTTAAATATTAATTTGAAAGCTTTTTTATTTTTATTTGTAATTTTGTTTAAATTCAAATATACAATTGTTAATGCCTATTGAAATTAATTTGATTTCACTAATCGCATAAATATTTAATGCACATTAGCCCAATACACCTAACTACCAAATTAGTTTAATCTAATGTACCTATACATTAACGATTATATACAAACCACATTAAACGTGCCTCGTATCTCTTAAACTTAAGACTTTAGCTAAATATTTTTCAGCTGATAACTTCCATGGATTCTAAAGTTTCTTAAATTATTTTGGAAAGACCATTGACGAATGTTCTCAAAAACCTATACGCGCATAGAATTTACTGTTTTTGAACTGAATCAGGCTAACGGTAAGTGTTTGTAAAAAATTAATGCAAATCGTTAAAAATCAAATACAGTTGTATTTTATAATGTTAATAAACTACAAAATTCAAATGAATCCACCACATCTCAACAACGCATACAAATAAACCCAATAACTACCAAAAAGGTACACACACTAACAACCATAAACTAAGGGCACATGTCAAAATAATTACAATAAAGTATCACTCACACAAAAATTAAATATCATGAATCCTGTCATTTAAAAAATGGAATTTTCCTCTTATTCTAAACAGGGGAGATGGAATAACGATCATCCTAGGCGGAATAGAAAAACCAATTTAAAGATATGTAATCCGACGATCAAAGTCATTTCAACAATTGTAAGGATAACAGTTTCAAATATGAATTTAAAAAATTAATTAAATTTTTTTAAAATATTTTTAAAGAATGTTATACCACTGTACGCGCCATACGCTCAATAAATAACTCCATTAAATTATTATCCATACCAAGATGAAAAATGTTATACGTAAGAACGCAAGGAAGAGCTAAAATCCACTATAGTTTTTATCATCCAATCAAAACTCGCCAAACAAAATCTGCTTTGCCGCCGCATAATCTCTTACCTCCTTTTAACTGGATCTCATAATTTTAGTATGCGTTTTCTCCACCGACACTAAAATCGGTGCTATAAAAAAAAAGCCCAACTTATAAGTCGATTTTAAGTCTTATCATATTTTTTTATTTAATTTTGTATATTAACTTGAGATATTTTATAAACTGAAGATTGTGATATATACTTAGGAACTAATTTATTTTAAAGTGTTCTTGAAAACTTAACAACATTTTTAACTAAGCTGAGTAATCATATAATATCAAGTAAATTACCATAGACGTTTGTACTGTTTGTAGTATAGATAGTCATTGATATTAAAATGCATTAGTAAAACAAGTTCAATCCTCAAAATCATATGTGATTCATCCACTTGGAAAATTGTAGTTTTAATTTTTGAGTTTTTCAAATTATCTCATTGTGGTAGTGTAATTTAATTTATGTTACATTAAGTTACAACATAATAAAATAATTTATTAATCAAAATGTTAAGTAATTTTGGGCATTGATAATAGTGATAATCACATATTATTATATCATCAAATATATTTAAAAATTTAAAAATAGGAATATACTATAATTATATTATATGCTTAACATTTCTAGTTTAACGAAAAAGTGATTGGTATATAATAATAAAGTTGTATTTCTCAATAAACATACTATGTTGAGGAACAACGATTGTATCAGTGTTTCAGACACTTTTTATGATACAAAACCAATCTAGTGGAAATTATATGTAGATTGTGTTTTGATGTCAAAATTGAAAAAAAACTCATTATTGTTTTTTTTTTCAATCAGTTGGAAAAAACAATAAAAATAAAATAAAGAGTGAAAAATAAAGGATGAATTTACAGTCATTACATATAAAATCCATTCACCCTTTACTTCGTTTTTTGAAGTGCGATGAACAATCGTTTTCAAATCATGGAATAGCTCATAATTGATAATATGCCATATGTCGTCAAATTAATCTACTCAAAATGTAATTTCGGTGAAACTAAATCCTGACCATAGTCGATATCGAAGTCAGGCTAGTGGCATTTTATCGGAATTGATTTTCCATTTTTTACTAGCCGTAATAAAAATGTTAATTAAAATAAAAACAATCTTTTTACATGTTTAATAATAATATATACTTAAACAAGGCTTTCAAGCCACCCTTTGCCATTTATCGTACATTTGACTACAATACAGTACCTAATTAGAGAGTATTTCCAAAGTCAACTTTATTAAATTAGAACCCGTATAAATTTTATAATTGCTTAAAAGTGACGTAATTTCAAGTTTAATTAACTTCAAAATATGCGATGCAAATTTTAATTTTATGGAATTACTAAAATTGCATTTAATTAGTACTATAATACCTAGTACCTACTATACAATATACTTTGTAAATATATTGATGTAATGTAAAACCAATAAATACATCAGCATCTATTTTCGAATAAATCAAATATTCAAGATAAATAACATATATTTTTAACAAAACGGTATTAAATTTGATATGTATTGTTAAAAATCAACTTATCTTTTAGGGTGTGTTGAAAAATACATTAAGTAGAACATTTTTCTCAATATGATTATAAACTATGGGTAATGATTAATCGTTATGAACATGAGGACATCTCATGTGTAAAAAAAAAATACTTTACCTATATGCGTTATCAGAATCGTGGCAAAAGATAACATTTTTAAAATATGTTTCAAACAATTTAAACACAGTGAAGGTGATCGCCCTTAACTAAACCATACTTTTTAAGATAAATCAAAACACTTGTTTCAAATGTTAGTATATTTTGTCAGATGTACTTGTCTGTCTAGTGAATAGTTGTACCTCTAAATGATTGAAAAATTAATGTGATTTTTCGTACTCACCTCAAAGTTCAGGATGCCGTTTCTTTCGTGGTCCAGCGATTGAAAGACATAGTGAGCGTATTGACTTATATTGGCTGCGATAAAATAACAAATACAAATAAGAAAAATCAGTGAAAATTACAGTGTAGTGTATTTGGTTTTTTTCGTGGGACGTTACCTCCTTGAGGGAAAAACTGCGAGTAAATGCCACGGAACGCATCTTCCTTGATGAGTCCAGTCGGGCATTCCGTCTTGAAATTGCGGTAAATTTTTTTGATTTCCGATTCCGTGAAACCCGTCGTCCGGCAAAAGTACTGTACGCTTTCGGGTCTGTACCTGGGCGGTGTTTCCAAATCGTCAAATTCGGAATCTAAAGGGGAAAACGTCATCATAATTAATAAAATATATTAATATTATCGGCGGGAAAATCATGGCCGACCGATTTTCCATTTGCGGAACAATATTGTGTGTTATTTTATACAGCGAATATAATTTATGCCGTGCAAGCTAAAACGGTAATAATTTCGACGTGAACTAAAAGCGGTGTAAAACATGCTGAAACAGTGCATTTTATTATAAATTGACACTTGACCTTACCGTCGTTCCGAGACGCCCGTACACAAATTACTACAATACTTAACGGTCTATAATGTTGAAAAAAGTGGGAGGCGTACCCGACTCGACCTGGTGCTGATCAACGATCCCGGCCCTATAGCGACTTATGTTTAAGTTGTTTTTTTTTTTTTTAGTTTTTTTGCATCGCTGCGATATTCGGTTAGGTGAAAAAAGAAAGATGAACAAAAAAAAAAAGAAAATCTTACGCGGTATCGGAAAATGAACTTATTGTGATTTCGCTGCGTCTGCGTCCTTTAAATTATAGTAACCAAACAATCCACGTAATGGGCCAGCACCGTTCGGTGGTTTTGAAGTGTGCCAAAGCATAAAAACTTAATTTGCTCTAGTAAGCCCCTGCTTAGCTGCTGCAAGAAGTTATAGAAATGTCGGTTTTAATATAAGTGTTTATTTTTATCATACAATATTATGAACGGAAACGAATAGATGGACTTCAGAAGTATTCAAATCAATCGATATAATATAATATTATGTATGTTTATTAATGTATTTTCATGGCGAATGGCTTAGTTTGATATTTTCACGATTTAAATGTGTACCTTTTTTATTTTATGAGTTTAAACGGTATTGGTCAGAGTTATTACGGTCGTAATATTATACAAACCCTGAACAAATATTATAGTCTAAACGAGTGGTCGTAAAAATCATGAATGGTTATTTTTTTATTTATTATTATTATTACTATTATTATTTGGTATAAAATAGTGAGTTGCAGTTTATACGTTCTCGGTTTGTTTATCAGCTTAATTTAATTTTAACGTGTTGTGGATAAACAACACGCTACAAATATTTAACGGAATACAGCTGTAACTATACGTGCCATTTTAATTGCATTATTAACAGTTGAAAAACATTAATGACCATATTCAACACAACAAAATAATATGTCAACCAGCTGAAATAATATAGGAAACTATTATGCTATACTTTATAATTTGCATTAGGTATATACACTTATTGGTGAAACAATCAGTGGGCGTTATATACCAAAAATAACTTATAAATTAAACTGTATGGCGTATGCAACTATTCTAAAATGTCCTAAAACGTCGGTGCACTGTGCACCTTCTAATGGTAACAACAGCAATAATAATAAAAAATAACAAAAATATGACGACCGTAAATGAAAAAAAAAAATCATATTTCGTGGTTTTATCAGAACGATAGTATTTATAAACTGACATACTTTCGTCTATAAATGTGCTTTAGTATTACTATAATAGGCCATCTACTATACAATATAGACTCGAATTGAAACCACAAAATCGTCGAACATAGGACAACTTTTCACGTCAAAGGCGATATTGAATATTTTATTACAAAACCAATTATAATTACAAGCCACAGATACACTCACGCACATCGCATGTAATGAGTATCGTGGATCTTCCGGACGTCGATTGATGTGGTTTAAATGTCATAATATTATACTCTTCGGATATCCCATTAGGATTACCTACGTAGGACAATTGAGTTAAAATAAACTCATCAAAAGCACTCCTTTCGATAATGGCTCCGTGGGAGTATATATTATTATATGATATTATACGGTACTTAGAATATGAACGAACTTGGTCTACCAGTAATCTATTGAAATAAGTAGTACGACATTTGAGATGTTAGCGAAAAACAATATTAGAAAAAGTAAACAGGAAGATGAAAAGAAAAGAAATCCATAGTCGAAAACTTGAGTTTTTTGTCGTTCAGCAGATTAGTAAAATATCCTGAGTATTCGCTTAGAAAATAATTATGATTTATATTGCCTTAATTGGTGCGTATTTAGTCGATGTGTGTGTAAAATACTAAAATCAGTAAATTACGTGTTGATAACTTTGTACAGATGTCTACTGCAGACTCAAGTCATTTTTACTCGAGAAAACTAAACTACGTAATAGCACTGTAATTAGTTGATATTATAAAAACTTAAAATTAATCTCTCTTTTTCTTAAGTTTCACGTCTATACATAATAGTTTTGTAATTTCATTTTAAGGTTAAATGAAGCGATCTTAAACTTATATGGTAATATTGTATCACATGCAAATGCAAGGTAGAACTTGTTACACAAGTAAAAAAAAAAAATTAAACAGTTTAAAACTAAGAAGAGCTTATTATTAGTTAGGTAACATTGGGTTTAAATATTTTTGTTGTTTGTTAATGAAACATTTTAGTAAACCAAGTTTGGAGCACCTCGCACCGTACTTATAAATAATTAAGTTTCGAATTCAAAAACAACAACAGGTAAATTAACTGATTATGATAATATTAAAAAAGAAAATTATAATTACATTAAATTAGTTGAATTATAATTACTTAGTATAATATAATATTACTATGAGGGTTTTTTTTTGGAATAATTTAGTTATTTTAACACTACATTTATTTACATTGGAATGTTTCCAATAAAATATAAGACAATACAAAAGTTTGGCTTTTTGAAAGTGTACAGTGTACTATAAAGAAATTTTTTCTCGGTAGTGATTTCATTGGATTTTATTTCTGATATAAAAGTTCTGTATCTAAGGTATGGTTCCTAGTAAAAAATACTCGGAGCATTGCAAGGTAAAATCATGTGAATACTTGGAGTCACTTAATTTGGAAAGTCCACAGCATGCAAACGGTGGATGTTGGAGTACGTGCAGGGAAAGATACATTTGGTCGGTCAAGGAACGGTTAGAGGACATATATTTTTCATCAAGCCAACCGACTAGGGAAAACACTTGAGGCGGAAATCTGAAAATCGGAGTCTTCCGGCGAGAAAGCAGACTACAGCCTGGCTCACAGATACGCCGTCCGTCCGTCGTGTCCAAAATACGTGGTCAACCGAACTCTGAAAATTTCCCGGTAGATCACAGTCAGTGAATGATACCACGGTTACCAAGGCCGACCATTATACCAAATGTAAAGACACGCGATACGACAGACGACGTAGCTGTGAATCCGCGGCTTAAGCGTATACATGCGTCGACCTGCTGGTCGGCGATGGTGGATGGGTATTGATTGGTTTGGTGGGTGGCGAGGGTCGGGCGACGACCCACCAACCGACCGACCGACTGACCTAATGAGAACTTGACGCCGGTCCACGCCTGCCGGATGAAGTTGTACACCCGCCTGTACAGCGGCCGGGTGGACGTGGACGGCGACGGCGGTGTTTGCGGCGACGACGGTGACTGGCCCCGCTGGTGGTGATGGTTGTGGTGATAGTAGGACGTTTTGTCCGCGAGGTGGTGGTGAATGTTGTGCCGGCGCTGCGGGTGCGCGCGGCCGCGGTAGTACACGCTGTTGTGGTGGTAGTGGTGCAGGTAGTGGTGATGGTGCAGGTAGTTGGCGGTCGGCTGCGACTGCAGGTGGTGATGGTGGTGGTGGTGATGGTAGTGCCCGGTGCCAGCGAGAGCGGTGCGGCCGGCACCACTGTTCACCATGGCAGCGGCCGCCCGTAGCGGCTGCGGCCGCGCCAAGCGCGTGTCCACGTCGTCATCGTAGTACCGATCGTCGAACACGTCCGGCCACTCCAAGTCCTCGAAGCCGATCGTCTTTCACGCCGGGCTGCACCGTCGCCGCGCGGCCGCCCGCCGTCGTGTATCCGACGGATCCGACCCCCGCTCCCGCCGTCGTCGTCGTGTTCCCGTGTGTAGGCCGTGCGCGGGGGTGGGGCGCTACTGCAGCGACTGATTTAATAAAACCACGTGTTACACGCCGCCCCGCGCGCACCGGTCCGGCGCAGTGTCCGTCACTCCGTGTCCGTGTCAATGCTAATTATAAGACGATAATAAATTGATAATAATAAACACATCATACTGTAATATTATTGTTGTTATAATATTGTAATCGTTCAATAATAATAATAACACCGTGCGATTGAATGTATATCATATAGGGGTAGTGACGTATCGTGTTCAAATCCACCAAATGGAGAACCGCTGACAAACTTTATCTGGCCCGAAGATAGAACTTTTATTTTTTATAGGGAGTTGAATTAGTTCTCCATTTTTTTTTTTTTTTTTTTACTTTACTTTCTTTGGATTAAATTATGATGTCCCCCGAAAACGTCCAGCTATCTAACACGAGGCGAGCACCCGACAGGCGACTATATAAGTCACGTCCGATATAACTTTATGGCCAACGTCCTACGGGGCTGTGCATTTAATGGACTAAATAAAAACCGCGAAATATATACTATATAGTATCTGCTAATAAATAATATGCGTAGAATATAAAAATGTTTATTTTAAAAGTAATAAAAAAATATAGATTAGCTTCAAAATTGTATTAAATACATTTGTATAAAACTCACAATTATTCGTAAATAATCGTTTCCACAAATAAACAATAAAAACAATAAAGGGTAGGTACACTGAATAAAGAGTTGTATACAAAAGTCTAAAATTCTAAAATATGCGAAATAAAATTTTATTTATTGAACTGTAATACTTAATTGGAACTCGTATCTCATCAATAAAATCAAATTTCTTAATTTTACAGCTCAAATTATGAAATATAAATGTTAACAATATATGATTTGCTTTGCCTCTAATGTTACTATATTATTATGGGTAGCACTTAAAGCTAAATATTGAACGATACGTAGTCGTCTTAATATATTATAATAGTGATCTTGTCACTGATAAACCTACCTTCAGCAATCAAAATTTCCAAAAATATTTTTAACCTTGAAATTATAATAGAATGTAAGTACCTAATTTCAGTAATAACAAGACATTTATATCTAGTCTTAGTGACCTAGTGGCTAGTCAAAAGTGTTAACAATAATTATTATTATTATTATTACACAAAATGTCAAAAATATTACACTAGGTAGGTAATAAGCCAGTATTTGAGTTCTTCCAAGTTTCAATTATATTATGACTAACTATTGTTTTAGTTACACAAAGAGCTATTAAAGAATAAAAACCACTAAAATAGTTAACGAATGTCGAATAGAAAAAATAGTAGAAGACCTGCACTGGTGTCCGTACATTTGGCGAAAACGAAAACCAATTTTATTTTTTGAGGAAACAATGCATACACCCTTTTATTGCATATACAGCATATACATTTCATGTGACACATACACATTAAATTGAATATTACATTGTTCAGTATCACAAACCCGGAACCACTTTCAGATTGCAGTAACAAATCAATAAATCTCAGATAAAGGAGGTTACGATAGTCGACCCAAAAAAAGAAACTACAGTCCAGAGTAGGTTAATTTATTTTTTCATAAGCAATAGAAAAATCCAATATGCCAATCAAATCCATCATATTATTCCGACTGAATGTCCTTGTTTAATTGCCCGGACTCAAGTCTTACACTAATCTACGTCATGCTTTATAGAACGAGTAACTGATATCAAACAACAATATTATTGGTTCCTTTAAATTTCATTCGTAGTTTTTTAAGTGAAGTACGAATTGCCAAAGCAAATTACCATTTGATGTACCTATACGTATTATTGGTTTCACCCAACGCAATATTATCATCTTTAAATGTCGTCTTAACGTCTTGTTAAAGAAGGATTAAATCTATAGATAGACACTAAAATATGCGAAAAACATTTATTATTTGAAACAGACATGATTTTACCGTAATAATGGTCCACATTAAATTCACACAGTCTCGGACGATATAAGACAATCTAAACTCATTTACTCGGTAAAAATGAAATTGAATTGATATAAGTCTTAATACATTTGTGTATGTGTATGTGTGTGTGTGTGTGTGTGTGTGTTTGTGTATGCGGGTGCGTTCACATTCAAAACTATGGTTTTTTCGTACATCAAAACGCCGCCGATAATTAAAATATGATGTGATAGTGTGCCTTTTTTTGGTTATGACAACGCTTAAAACTTGTACGAGACTATAAAACGTATTAACTTACTAACGAAAACTTTAACCATTCAAAACTAATTTAAGCACGATCTCAAGTACACAGTTAATATCTATATGTACTATTAATGTAGGTACATCCAAATGAATGGCAACGTGAATGCGTATTAAATTATAATAATGCTTCGAGATTGGCCTGCTTGAAAATGTTTAGAAGGAGTAAGTATGAGAAATATATATTTTTAAAAGAGCCAACCGTTTGGAGAAAACTAGAATTTTTATGTTTTTGATTTTCTTACGCGGTACACGTACAAGCGATATTTATTTTATCCACGAGTTTCACCGTGTATTTTTACTCATTTTTTCACGTGAAAACAACATGCATTAATCATTGTAGCGTCCAAACAGTTCAACAATTATAATTATAGCCACATAACTCTTGAAGATAAGTTTTTGAATTAAAAGAAAAAAAGACACATTACGGCTAATCTGTTTTTTTTCTTTATCATGATGCAAGGCATCTTGTTATCAAAGTTACTTTCTTTTAGAAATTACACATACTTACCAAAGCTAGTATATACATATACGTAAAATACAAAATGGAAATTATATTCGTATAAAAAGTACAAAACACGATTAGTCGTAATGTGAACAAACTATTATAACAATATTAAAACTATTAAAAACCAATTAATAATATTTACGACACTGCAGTAAAATTATCTTTATCTTATAGATAGATGGATGAGTCATATCGAATCACTTTTTTTTCATCAAAACTCAGAATGATATATTATTTTAGACATTCTTAACGTTTTATATTGAAACTTATTTGTGTGCGTACACTATACACATTACGATTTCTTCTCTAAACATAATTTACTCATCAAACAATAAAGTGATTACATAATATAATGGTTTTACTGTTATAACTTTGTACAATCCCTTTTACGCAATGCATTTGAAAATGTCATAAAGAGATGAATGTAATTAAAAACAAAATTAATTGAATTTTATTATTACCGTGAAAACATATTTTACAAAAAAAAGGTTATAGTTTTGTACATATGATAATATTTATTTAAACATTTTAAACTGTTAGCATAGTATTTTGATTTGTATAAATTGTATAAATTTGTAATAAGTTTTTTAAAATTATTTAGAAATGTACGATCTGCGCTCTAAGGCACAATAATAATATATGTTACAGCCTACAAGAATAAAAACATGAATTAAAAATAAAAATGTTAGGAGAAAAGCTATCCAGTAATAACACTATATTTTATTCACAAATAAATATCTACATATTTTTCTCTCATTCAAGGTAATTAAAATTCAGAAGGTCTCTGCACAAATTTCTTTTCAGACGCCGTGGGGGATTTCCAGAGATTGTTCTAGTGTCTAGATCAGGAGGTTCAGATGGGAGGGTAGTGTGTTACAAAAAAAATCTTTATAGTACGATTTAGCTTCTTCATCATTGAATTTTAATTCTACCTAACCTAACCATCTTAGGGTAGAACAGATTTTTAAATATTATAAGGGGCATTATTGATTGCGAGTAGGATTTGGTTTTCAAATGTTTTATTTTTGTTAAGGTTGGATTTTTTAGAATTAACCTAGAGTGTTGGAAACCATATGTTCACATTGGCTTAATTAAGGACTTATATATAAGTAATTTTGTATTAAATTTAATATGTTTATTAGATATTAATTCGCAAGCAGCCGGAGAAGCGCATTTAAGGCGAGTTTTTTTTTCTCATGTATGATATTCTGATGAGATGCTAGTCATAAGTTAACAATAGATACTTATCTGAATGGGAAGATGGGAGAGGATACCAGCTAAGAAAACTTCAGGACATTGAGCAAGACGAAAGCTGAAGGTAAAGTGTGTATAAATTTTGTTTGGTTTACTTTAACTCGCCATTTAACTTATCTACTAGGCATTAGGCGAAAGTTATTTTAAAGATTCAGGGAAGTGGTAACTGGGTATTGGTGAATTGATAATATAATTCTCTGCAAACTCATTGGTAATAAGTAATAGCAATTATTGGTATATTACAATACTATTATTTGTATGGAAAAACTTTAAAAATATCAAATATTTTAGAAGACGGTTATAAGTTAAATATAAAGAGTTTTGCATTTAAATATTATTATATTGATATTTTATATTCTGAACGGAGAGATGAACGTATTGGTTTTACAATAAGGAATTTTTTTCGTGAACAGTTTTTGGAGTAGTTAATATTCTTCAATTTTTTATTGTAAGGGGTTTCTGGTAGCAAATTGGATTTAGATGTTACAGTGGGAGTTAAAAGTAAAAAGTTACCAGTGTTTTTTTAAATCTACCAAAATACCAACAAAATAATTACCCAAAAATACCGGTATGTTTGAGCAAAACCAGTTTTCAACAAAATAAATTTCAACAAACAACAAAAACGATAATTAAAAAATTGACCTTTGAACCATTTCAAAATTTTTTATGTGGCTATTAATTTCAAAGTTGTGCAAGTGAATTCATCTGAATCTGAAAAATGTATTTTTTAGACATATAGGCTAGCTGATACACGATCTGATTTACGATTGAATTAAAATTTAACATATCCATTACAGTAATCTGCCCGAAAATCGACACCAATTATATACCTACGGCATAGCGACTTCCCCAATTATTATAAAATTTAGAATTATTATATATATTTTTTTTTTAATGCATCATGAGTGTTTGTCTAAATAGATTGCAAAAATTTAGTAGTGCCTAAATAAACTACTATACAGTATAGATATAAACATCCACAGTACTCTTTACAGTAAAATAACTTTTTGGTTTTATTTATTTTGCATTTAGCCTTAACTAAAGCATTTACACATTATGTCTAAATTATACAAATGTTGATATAAAATGCTGTAATACCTCTGTAA